CAATGAGCAGTGAATGCAAGTGTTTTTATAATCAGCTAGTTGAGAGCAGTACCTGATTGACATAGGATCTGAAAAACCGATTACGACCATTTATGCCATCTGCATAGGTTGCAAATCTCTGACAGCCCCAACACCAATCTTTTATTATGCAGGTGGATCCTCTGCCTGACCTACTCCATGTTGCTTCTTTATTTCTACTGTACACATGCTAACAAAAAAGGGAAGGTGGAGACCACATGGTGGACATGTCTGGCCCCAGGTAGCCCTTTGTATTGGTACAGTTGCTGGCATCCCCCATGCAAGCTTTCAGCTTCCTTATCTATGTTTGCAGCCCGATCTTCCTGGCTGCGCTTTGTTAGAAAAGAAGTGATTTATTGGACTGCTTTTTGTTAGAAAAGAAGTTCTGCCAAGGACACTCTTTTGCCCTTGCTATATGCTTAAATAATTTCTATCTTCTGTATCAGTACAAAGGCAATTAAATGGAAACAGGACAGTCTTCAGTAAATGGTGATAGGATAATTTCATAACCACAATGCAAAAATATAAATTTAGACACTTACTTAATAACATACACAAAAAGTTCAAAATGAATCACAGACCTGAATGTTAGAGTTAAAACAATAAAACTCTTAGAAAAAACATAAGAGCAATTACTTGTGATAATGCATTAGTCAAAAATTTCTTAAGTATGTCATCAGAAGTATAAGTGATTAAAAATTGATGAACTGATGAAAATTTAAAGCTTTTCCATTCTAAAGACATCAATACCAATGTGAAAAGGTAAGCCAAAGACTAGGACAAAATATTTGTACATCACATATGTAATAAAGGACTTCTATCTAGGATTCATAAAGAACACTTATAAATCTATAAGAAGACAAATAACCCAATTTTGTAAAGGGCAAAAAAGCTATACACAAATTTTTATAGCAGTTTATTCATAACATCTGAAACCTGAAGACATCACATGCCTTTTAGTGGGTGAATAGCTAAACAAACTGTGGAATATTACACAGTAATAAAAATAAATAACCACTGATACACACAATAACTTGGTTGATGCTCAGGATAAGTATGCTGAGTGAAAAAAAACTAAGCCCCTAAAATTATATATGGTATCATACAATTCACATAAAGTAAGGAGGAGGGTAAGAAGTATTATAAAAATATAACAGGAGAAATCCTTATGGTGATGTAATTGTTCTGTATCTGGATGGTAGTGGTCATAAGAACCTATACCTCTGATAAAATTGCATAAAACTAAATGGACCCACACACAGACACAAATGAGTATATCTATGAGGGAAAATCTGAATAAAACAGATGGATTGGATCAATGTCAAGTTTGTGGTTGTTAAATCTGTATAACAATAGTTATGTAAGATGTTGCTATTGGGGGATACTAAGTAAAGTGTAAACAGAATCTCTCTGTATTATTTTTTACAGCTACATATAAATCTACAAGTATCTCAAAAAAGCTTTATTTTAAACTTGGTTAAAGATTTGAGTAGACATTTATCAAAGAAGCTATACAAACAGACAATGGGTACATGAAAAGATGTTCACTGCTAATCATTAGGGAAATGCAACATTAAACCACGGTGCATATCCATAAGAACAGTTATAATAAAAAAGACAATAACAAGTGCTGGAGAGGATGTGGAAAAAGTTGAGCCCTCCTACATTGCTTGTGAGGATGTAAATTGATAAAGTCACTTTGGAAAAACAGGTTGGCAGTTTCTTAATAAGTTCAACATTATCTTAGCATATGACTCGGGAATTCCACTCCTAGGTTATAGCAGCATTTTCGTAACATCCAAAAGTAGAAGCAACTCAAATGTCATCAACTGGTAAGCTAATAAACAAAATGCAATTTACCCCAACAATGGAATGATATTCATTAATTAAAAGGAATAAAGTATTGATACACGATACAACATTGACGAACCACAAAAACATTATGCTAACTGAAAGTAGCTTGATACAAAGACCACGTAGTGTATAATCCTATTTATTTAAATGTCCATTAAACAAATCTGTAGAAAAGAAAGTAGATTAATGCTTACCAAGAGTTGCAGATGAATAAGGAATGGCTGAAAAATGGGACAGATATTTCTTTTGGGGACAATGTAAATGTTCTAAACTAGTTTGTAGTGACAGCTGCACAACTCTGTAACTAAAATCAATGAATTGTATGATTTAATAAATAAATAAAATAAAGCTGTCTTTAAAAGGTTGCAATTCTTTTCAGCTGTTTAAGGTTGAAACCCTCTCTGACGGTTAATGATCTCATGTCTCAGGCCCCTATTAATTTATGGGAGAAATACCCACATACCCTGCTTAGCAATTAGGCATAATGTTACATGACCTGCTTTCTTCTCTATCTACTCTTCGATTTACTATTCTTAATGCTAAGGTATCATTTAGAAACCATGGTGTTTCTCGTATTTACTGACAATGGATAAACAAAACATATTTTTCTGCAGCTTGCTTAATTCCAAATTCTCCTACAGTTAAGCAAAACAAATTATCTTTGGAATCACTTATACGTTTTAATCACAACATATAAGCAAGAAAACAGATGGACATATTGACTACTCTTGTGTGTTTAGCCAAGTACAACACTTCCCGGAACCATTTGGTCCATTTGACATCTGACATCAGGGGCCTCTTCTATTTTAACAGATTTTCCTCCATCCCTTTCCTTCATTCTCATTATCCATAACCATAATTTCTCCACTTTTACCATAGTTCCAATATCTTCCTTACACTTATTACAAAGTCCACCCCTTACTCCTTTCCCATTCTGTCCTTCAAATAGCATTTCCTAGCCTAATCTTGAGTGTGAGAAGGAGAAACTACCACTTAAGCAGTGAAATACTTTTCCCTATAGACACAGACTTAGTGGACTTTTGTGGATATTTGTAAACGTTTTAAATGTCATTTACGGGTTTTTGTTGTTGTTGTTTGCTTCTTGAAAGAGAAAAATTGTTGCAGAGTATTGTTATACCTGAGCGAATCAAGGAATGCGCCACACTCTGAGATTGAATTATGAGTCCTTTATTGAGCTGGCGACCGAGAGTGACTAATGCCCAAAGTTCTCTTGGCCCAGAAGAAAAAGTTAGGTGGTCTTTTATACACTAGTTTTACCAGGAAGGGGGAAACCTAGCTGAAACAAAGTTTTCACAAAGCAGAGTTAGCAAAAGAGTTAAAAAGAAAAATTGATACATAAGAGATAAAACAGTGCCAGGTGTGAGGAGTACAGCTGTCATGAAAGACATACAACTTAGACATAATGGGGCTCTGGGCGCTCACTGCACCTGCATTTCCAGGCTCTGCTGATACCACTTAACTCAGCCTTTTGTCAATAAAGGCATTCTTGGGTGCCCAGTGTCAGCCTGACCTTGCTTTATACTATATATACTTTATATATATACTTTATACTAACCTTGCTTTTTACATGCTTAATAGGGAGAAAGTTACTAAAATGAAAAAGCCAAGATGGAGTCTGTCTGGCTCAAGAAGCTAACATAAAGCCTAAACAGCTTTATGGGAAAGGGAGAGTTAGTTTTAGCTGGCAAAAAGCAGGGTATCACAGTATTAATTTTGATCTTAAGTCTGACACATTTATTAACACCCCAAAAAAGCAAAGATATATATGTCTTGCCAGAAGGCTACTACAAAATATTTTAAGGTTCCATCTTCTATAATTCCTGCCTAGGAGATACAGTTATCTAAACTACAAAAAGCTGCAATTTGTTGCTTATTGGTGTTATGACTTATTTTTAAAGTTCCCTAAATAATCCAACATTTGAATAAAATGGACACCTTTTCATTTTAACAACATATACTCCTTCATAATAATGGTTTGATTCATTTTTCTTACAGAACAAATTTCTTCCTACCTCATACACATTAAATATTTATGCTGCTAATGTCATGCTCATCCTAAATTAAAATTTGACTATGTCTGTTTCTGATTGGGACACCATCTGATTGGGATGCAGCTGTAGTGTAGCAGAAAGAGCAGTGAAGCTGGTATTAGAGTGCTTGGATCACAGTGTTTGTTCTGTTACTTAGCAGTTGTGTGACGTTACTGTCTTAATGATATGGATTTCTGTGCTGCTGCCAAGTATGAACGAGTTTGGCACACTGTTTAGAAATGCAAAATATGTGATCTCCACAACATTTTACTGAGTGTAAAGAAGATAGGATAGATTATTTAAACTGGAAAATTTTGGACAAAATGTCACCATAGACATGAATATATTACCTAAACTTCCTGAGACTCACTTTTGACATGTGATAAAATAGATATAATGATACCTACCTCACGAGGTTAAGGGTTAACTAAAATATTGTATGTGAGATTCTAGCTCAGTGTCTGGAAAATGGATGATGTTAATTAAGGTTTTCTTAGGTTGGAAGCCTCCTTTAACCCCCTCCATCTGCCCCCTCCCCCAAAAAACCCTCCAAAATTCAAACATGCATATTCTGATTTATCTTTTAAGAAAGAGCCCAAAAGGCACCACTCTACAAAATCTTTCCAAACAACTTCAGGCAGTACAGCCCTTTGGTTAGGAGTACTGGGCTTTTGGAATCAGAAGAGACCACCAAATTTAAAACCATGTCTGCCATTTAGAAGCTCCCTGACACTGGACACCAAATTACTTATTTTCTCTGCATCTAGGTTTCTCATCAGTAAATAAAATCATCATGGTACACATGGTACATACCTCAGAGGCTTGTGGAGGATTAAATGAGATATACATATAGAGCATTTAGCACAGTCCCTGACTTAATAAGTTCTCCGTTAAGTATAACATAGAAGTAGTAAAAGTTTCCTCTTAAGTAAAATTCTAATCAAAGTGCTTACTCTGCCTCCCAAGATTGCGGCAAAGTTATGACGCAAGGCTTTTAAACTAGTGCTGAACAAACGTAAGGTATTGGTATATACCTTGAGATATTTTGGACAAAGTTCTAAGCTTACTTTTATAAAATATGCTTTCCCTCACCCGCCTGCAGTGGGGTTAATAATGCCCAGCATTAATTAATAGGAAATAAAATCAGAAGATACGTCCCCGAATACAACTAGCTGACGATCGGAGATCAGCACCCGCAGACCTGACCTGGATCATTCCCTGGAGTTCACCTCTAGCGGCCCCCTCCCCTTGGAGCCGCGCAAGCGTACACTGACTTTGCTTCTCTCTAGTGCCCCCGCCTCCAACAGCCCCCCCGCAACCCTCCGTCTGCCCAACACGCAGGCGCGTCTCCTCAAATCCTGTCCGTACAACCCTCCTCTTTCTCTTCATTTCGTTCCTCCTCCTCTTGCAGCAACTCAGCAGGTTCAAACTCTTCTCCGGGAGAGTGTCGGCGATCGCGAGGTCACGTGATGAGCATCCTGCTGCCCAACATGGCGGAGTTCGACACCATCTCGGAACTGGAAGAGGAGGAAGAAGAAGCGGCAACGTCGTCATCGTCGCCGTCGTCGTCGTCGTCGGTATCTGGGCCCGACGATGACGAGGACGATGAGGAGGAAGAGGAGGAGGAAGAAGAGGAGGAGGAGGAAGAAGAGGAAGAGGAGGCGCCGCCCCCGCCTCGGGTTGTGAGCGAGGAGCATCTGCGGAGATATGCTCCCGACCCTGTATTAGTGCGGGGTGCCGGCCACATCACTGTGTAAGCGAGAGGGGGTCTTGGGTCTTTAAAACCCTGAGATTTGGCAACAGAGGAATGAGAGGTGATCGAAGGGCCTCTGGAGTGGGGGAGGATTGACTGAGGCGTACAGTTAGGAAAGGACACCTGGTCTAAATGAGGAGACCATGGGTGGATACGTGTGAAGGAAGTGAGGAGAATCTAAGTATGATGCGCCAATGCCAGGTAAAGTGTGAGTATAGGAGAAAGGAGTTAGGGATTAGGAGCCAGAGTGATTGAAGTAGGGGTGAGTCTCCTTTCTTGTATGTATGCTGGCGAGTGAACAGTCCCTAAACTGCAGGATGTACCAGGGGGATTTTTGCTGACAAGATTGATATTTAGTGAGAAACGGCGATTGCTGTGACATGTGACAGGAATTAGGCTTGCATTCTTCAAACAAACATTATGTATTTTGTGAATAATAATAGAATAGCCATGAATAATAATATGATTCATTTTTCCTATGTAATCCTTATGTATCAGTCGATTAGAGGTTGAGGTTGAGAGGCAGCTATGGAAAGTAGAAAGAGCAATGGATTGACTCAGGGCTCTTAGATGCTAGTTCCAGTTTTGCTTCTTACTGGCCCTGTGACCTTGGTCAGGTTGCTTTTTCTCATTTCTGCACCTTGATTTCTTCATCATTAAAATGAAGGGTTTTGGAATAGATGGTTTCTAAAGCTTTTCAGTTATGAGATAATTTACCTCCAAGGGACTTTGTATGCCTAAATGCGAAATATACAGGCATCAAATATATATGGAAATTAGTTCTTTGGGAGCTGAGGATGATTTCTTGAAAATTTATCCAGGGTGGTTTTTTAAAAAATTGAAATCTTGAGAGAAAAAAAATTGAATATTTGAGAAATAAAATGGGGAGGGACTTTATAACATACCTACAAAGCAAAAATGTAGATGATTCTTTGGACTCTAAAGAGTGCTTCCTCATTTTTGTTTGCTTGGACCATAACTATTGGAAGTTTGCATATTGTATCATGGTCATCCTCTTTCCTATGTTTTACTGCATTTTCAAAATAGATTGCTGTTTGTTATTATGTCATGCTTCCTCTGATTTTGATAATGACTAACCTAGCCCTTTTGACTTTCAATTGAGTTCATGTTATATTAAATCGTATATGTACTACCTCCCTCATCATATAAGCTTTAATTTTTAACATACTGAGTATTTTTTTTTTTTTTTTTGAGATGGAGTCTCGATCTGTAACCCAGGCTGGAGTGCAGTGGCACGATCTTGGCTCACTGCAATCTCTGCCTCCCAGGTTCAAGAGATTCTCTCAGGTGGCTCACGCCTGTAATCCCAGCACTTTGGGAGGCCGAGGTGGGTGGATCACGAGGTCAAGAGATCAAGACCATCCTGGTCAACATGGTGAAACCCCATCTCTACTAAAAATACAAAAAATTAGCTGGGCATGGTGGCACGTGCCTGTAATCCCAGCCACTCAGGAGGCTGAGGCAGGAGAATTGCCTGAACCCAGGAGGCGGAGGTTGTGATGAGCCGAGATTGCGCCATTGCACTCCAGCCTGGGTAACAAGAGCAAAACTCCGTCTCAAATAAATAAATAAATAAATGAGATTCTCCTGCCTCAGGCTCCTGGGTAGCTGGGACTACAGGCACGACATGTTGAGTATTTTGCTTGTGATATACATTTGTCATCTTTGCATCGAATATATTAACAAATATTTTGAAATTGTGGAAGGATGTGGGGAGGGGTTTACAACTGCTTTTTGATTATGAAATTTAAAGACAATTTTTCTTGGTTCAAGAATTTTGCACATAGCCTACACTGTGATGCCAGCTTACTGCACTGTTTTATTTCCATTTTTTTTTTTTTGTCACTAGGGAGACAATTTATTACTCAAACTAATTGTGATTCTGGTACCAAAGGTTACTTTTATGCAGATTGTGTTACATGACCCTTTAGTCTATAACTTTATACGCCAACATTCCACCTCCACATTATTTTGCAAAATTCAGGCAAAGGAGGACCAAGAAAATCATATTTAAGTTACCTGAAATTTATTTGTGGTTCCATTCTACCCTCCAGGCAACCATGGTGAAATACTTACCAACCTATTTTCTTCATTAGCAGAAGAACACTGACACTTGCCATGCCTAGGCCTTTGTGATTGGTATAATGTCCCTCCCAGCTTTAACTTTTGTAATTAGGAGAGTGCGGGTAGTACTGTTGGTATTTATTGACTGAAACCAAAACCTAAAAAGCAGCAAACTAGTACTGGAATCACTAACCAATGTATGTACTTTGGAAACTTTGTTTTATTGTACACATTCTCACACCTAGAAATCACATATGACATCAAATGTCTTGAGATCTGAAAGAGATTACATGTCTAGAAGAAAATTTTACTGGATCTGAGAAATGAATCTTTCTATGGTAGTAAAGCCTTCCTTATATCAGGTACAGTAAAATCCTTATGAAATAGGTAAACTTATTCCGAGACTTCTAGAATCTTGTTCTGAGACTTCTAAAATATCAGCTTCTGTTTATTTTTTTTTTCTGGCATAGGAGTGTTAGAGATGCCCTAAATTATATACCCTATCTGAATGAAATGTTTAATATTCTCTCCCAGCCCTGATTTTTTTCCATTCTTTGTACAGTCTTCTATTGTATAGAGCATTTTGTTTATTTTCAAAGTTTAAAATTTGAGAGTCCTCACCTCAAACTCAGTATATTTTAAGCCCGACATCCCTCTCCACATTGCCTGTGTTTTCCATTTGTTTCATTTCTTTCCTTGATGCCACCATTCTAATCTCCCAGGGTAACATTTAAAATCTTTGAGTCATTTTGACTCTTCCTTCTCCTTGAATTGCCCTGTGTCAGTCTGCCCCAGAATTATGTCATCATAGTTTCTGAAATATGTCTTAGATTTTTCATTTTCTCATGCCTATTTGGCACCACTCTAGTTTGGGTTGCCATCATCTCCTGCTTGAATTATTGCCACAATCTGCTGCCTCTCCCTACTCCAATCCATCCTGTGTGCTTGTGCCAAACTGATTTTCTTAAAACACAGCTTAATCATGTCACTTTCCTGCTGAAAACCTGCACTGGATCTTAATTAGCTCTGAGTTTCTCTGCCATCTTCCTTCAGTCTGAGTTCAAGGAGACCCTCCATTTGTCCAGTGGTCACCTGTCCATTTGTACCTTCCATACCCTTCTCTTCCAGCCTCCTCCCAGGTCTTGCTCCACCAGGCCACCCATCTCTCCAGTATTACCTCTCTACTGGCTCAGGATGTAACCATATTCAGTCTCTAATTTTTTAAAAAACAAAATAAGGCAGAAGCCTTCCTATGCCTGTGTTCCCTTTAGCTACTATCCAATTTCTCTTTCTTAGCCTTTCAATTTCTAAAAAGTCTCTATGCTCACCATATCCATTTTCTCTTTACCCCTCTCTGATCTGGATTCTGCTACCAAAACCACAGAGGAGCTATCATTAATTAATATCACTGTGACCCTCTTGTTACTAAATTAGTGGACATCTTTTATTCCCTATCCTTCAGGTTCTGTGTACTGCATTTGACACTTATGATGATTTGTTCTTTTTTAGAAGCTTCTACTCCAGGACTCACAAACACAGACCTTCAGAGGCAAGGCAGGTCACAGAAACTACTGCAGTATAGGGAGAGATGGGGGTTTAGTTGAACTGAAAGGTATATATCTCAACTAATGGTATTCAAATTCTAATTTAAGAAAAAAACATTTTGCTAGCCATAAAAAACACATAACTCCTTGGCCACTTCCCTCTCCTCGTGTTCCTTTTATTTTTCTGGCAGTTTCTTAACTGTTCATTCATGGGCTTCTCTTCCTCTCTTGACCCTTAAATGCCAGCAATCTCTAGAGTTTTGTTCTCAGCCCACTACTCTTCTTATTCCCTACTCTTTCTAGATGGTCTCATCTTACCTCTCATAGATTCAGTTATCTCATGGCTCCCAAATAGGGATTTGTTTACCAGACTCTGTGCTTGGGCTCTTACTCTTCACTCAATAGCCTACTATTATCTTAAATTTTACATAAACTAAACTCATTCCCCTGACACCCCCCCTCATACCCCCACCCCCAAATGCTCCAAAAAGCCCTCCTCTTTCTGTATTCACAACCTCAATTGAATGTACCTCCACCTATCCCATTAAAGCATGCTTGGTTCCCCTCAGTCACACTTCCCACTGCTAAGCAATTAGCAAATATCAACAATATATGGCTTAAGAATTTCTTCTTTTCCTCCCTACCACCACTTGATTGATTCAAGACCCTATCACTGCCATAACTAGTGATCTTGACTTCATCCTCACATCCATCCTCCAGCCTACTGCTAGATTAATATACAAAAAGTACAGATCTAATCGAACCACTTTTCCTGCCTATCTTGTGGTTTTTCCCTTCACCTGCAAGATAAGAGTCTAAGCTCCATAACAGAGCATACAGAACTGTGTATCTATCAGCCTAAACTTTTACCACTTCCCTTACTGCTTGTATATTCCTGTTCACAGATGCTAGGTTTTTAAAATTTCATTGCCTCTGCTCAATCTGGGGCCTCCACCTAAAATGCTAACATTCACCTCCTGTTTCCCTGGCTCCAGTTTCCCTGGCTCTCTGTATGTCACCACCTTCTTCTGCAAATCTTCTTTGCCCCCACTAAATTGTAATTTGCAATGACAAGAACAATTTCTGATTCCCTCTGAATCCTCAGTGCACAGCACAGTGCCTGACATGAAGTGAGTTGAATGAATATTGGTTCACTTTAGTAACACTCAGTATGCCCACATAGTACAAACTATACTATAAGCCCTCAACAAATACATTAGTTGAATCATGCTGTGGAGAGCACTTGTTTTTGAGCATAGATGTATATGAATACAACAGTATCATCAGTACCAGCATCATCAGTGATGGCATTTATGGCATGAGCTTACCTCTGAAAGCTTTGTTAAGCTAGCCCCTATGTGTCCGAGTATG